AAAAAAAAAAAAAAAAGACTCCCATGGCCAATGTGACAGAAGTCTAGTGGCTAAGCCATCTGAGGTCAGCTTGTTCCAGCCCTCCTCTTAGAGTTACACTTATTTATTTATTTATTTATTTATTTATTTATTTATTTATTTATTTATTTATTCTGTATACAGTGTTCTGTCTGCATGTATGCCTGAACACCAGAAGAGGGCACCAGATCTCATTGTTGATGGTTGTGAGCCACCATGTGGTTGCTGGGAATTGAACTCAGGGCCTCTGGAAGTACAGCCAGTGCTCTTAACGTCTGAGCCATCTCTCCAGCCCAAGTTATACTAATTTAAGATCCTCCTCTCTTGGCTGGGGATGTGGCTATTGCAGAGGACTGGCCTGCCATGTTCAGGGTCCTGGGTGCAATCACCAGCACCATGCCCATGCATCCACAAAGAGCAACCCACCTCCATGGTGTGATCAATTGATTTCACAAGATGAGTTTTTAAAAGCAACATGCATTTGATTTAGAAGACACCCTTTACATACAGATATCCTTTAAAACTCACTTCTGTTGCAATCCCAGCTTGCTTCCTTTATTTTTTCTGGCCTTCCACGGGGAGCATTCAAAGAGGCTTCAACTTGAAAAAGCAAAAGGTCAAGAACAAATGGAAAACGTGGGTGACAAAGTTGTAAAGCCAGAGTTCATTAAAAATTTGACAGAAAGAAGTCTTCTAACATTTGTGTGCCCACAAAATAGCAAGATGTGTACAGCTTTGAGCTTGTAGAAGAAACTACATGGGCTCCGTACACACCTTCCTCCACGCAGGCCTGGGCTCCAGCACAGCCAACATTCTCCATCAGGGTGGCACCCCTGGCTGGACCTGCAGTGGCATATCATAATCACTCAATGTTCGTGGCTGACATTGGGCTTCGTCTTCCTCATATATCCATGAGTCCAGATAAATATGACATCACACACAGCCTCATTATGGCCTTATATAGAGTGTTTGCATTGTCCCCTAAATCCTGTGTTCTGCCTGTGTAACTCTCTGACCCCCCACCTCCAGATCTTCTCACCATTTCCATTACTTCTGCACTTTCAAAAATGTCACAGAGTTGCCTTTTAGATGGGTTCTTTTTATTCAGTAATGGGCCTTTAAGCCTCTGGAGGGGTGGGTATTCCTCCATCTTTTTATGGCTGGGTAGCTCACTTCTTTGTAGTGTGAGGTTATATTCCATTATCTGGATAGTCTATGATTAATTTATCAATCAACCCTACTGAAAGACATCTTTGGGGCTTCCAGGTTTGAACAGTTCTGAGCAGCACTTCTCCAGTTATCTGGAGACAAGTTCTTTGGGAGTATAACATTTCAACTCTTTGAGCTCAATACCCGGGAACACACTGGTTAAACATATGGTAAGAGTGTGTTTGTTTTCATCAGGACCCACCCAGCTGTCTTCTAGAGTATCTGTGGTACTTTTGCAATGCCATGGAAATGTGGGATGGTGCCCATCACTCCGCATCCTAGGCACTGTAGGGTGGTGTTGGTGTTGCATGGACAGTGGCATCTCTCCTTAAATTTGCGTGTCCCTAATGGCATGAGATGTGAAGTATCTTTTTATACATCTGTTATTAATATATGCACTTCGGTGAGCATCCATTGAGGTCTTTGGCTCATGTTTTTTTTTTAATCAAGTTGTTTACTTTCTTGTTGTTGAGTTTTGCTGTGTTGTGCTTTCACGAAGGCCAACATGTTTGAAAATCTCTTTCAAGAGTTCTTCTTTGACCCATATTATTTACAAATCTCTGTACATGTCACACGATGGCGATTTTTTTCCAGTTTCAACTTCAAGTTGGTTTCCACTGTGACCCGAGAGCACACGTTCTATGATGCCTGTTCCTTTCAGCCTGTTAGGCTGGCAAGAGTGTTAGGTACAGAATTACAGGTGTACTTTTGTTTTCATGTCTCTCCACATTTAAATATTTTGCTGTGCCCTCTTCTTTCCTTCCTGGTTACTGAGAATAAGTCAGATAAAACGTTCATCTTTGTTCCTCTGTAGGAGGGGCATTATTGTACTT